AAAATTAATTTTGTAGGGTGCCACAAGTTTGTTAAAATTTCCAAAGGGTGCCGCGACTAAAAAAAGGTTGGGAAACATTGACTTAGACCATGGTAACAAGTCACTTGTGAGTAGAGATGGTTGACTAGTCATCCAGCAGCCAGCTAGTCGATTAGGGAGGTTGGGCAGTTATATTGATATTTTTGGCAGCAGTGTTTTTATGCGCATGCTGACAGTGTGCTGTTCCACAGTTGCACTGTAAAATTCTCCACCAGAAAAGTCTTTTAATTCATACCCTTTAAAGCACCACGCTACAGCTAGACGCACTATGACAGACATCTTTGGCCTTTGCATTGCATAACGTGCTGTTTTTGAGCATTTAAAAATAGTCAAACTTTAAAAAAATGTGTCTTGAAATACTTGCTTTCTATTCGATCTATCTCTTTTTGAATGCAAGAATGTGGATTATGTAAACAGTACCCAAGAAATGTGGGATGCATGGCAGATTTTAATTTCATTTTATTTGTATATTATAGTATTTGGTTACTCATGGTGACCCTCATGTCATCCCAAATCTGTATGACTTTTTTTCTTCTATGCAACACATAAGGTGATAATTTTAAAAATGTCTGTATTTTTTGTCTAAACAGAAGTCAGTGGGTTCTTCAAAAAATTATTCTTTTGTGTTGGTTTGGAACAACATGAGGGTGAGTAAATCATGACAGAATTTCCACTATCCCTTAAACATCTTTTCTTGTAAAGGCGCTTTATGTCTTGTAAAAGGAGAATACAAATAAAACTGGCTTGAATTGATTTGAAACGTTAAATCAAAGAGAATAACTATATGCACCTTGTAAATGTTCAGTAAATACTTATAGAAACACTTACTTCAAATTCATCTTTCCATTGATGCTCCATTTGGAAATTCTCTGCTGCGGTTGCCAAAGTCTATAAAAAGAACAAGAGAAAATAAATCATTTTAATTAGTTAAGCACTGCATCCAAATATCTGTGATGATCAAAGCAACTCTGATAATGAGATAGTAAATTAAATGTTAACTGTAAAGCTGTATTATCTGGCCGTACTGGATATGTATAGTTCAGTTTTTTCCATCACAATAAAAAAAAGACTCAATGAATAACATTTTACAGGACTGAATATGTTACTAGACACACACCTTAATCATCTAAACAACTGAACAGAACAAATGAACTGCAAATGGAGACAGATGCATAGTCATATAACATAGAAACTAATACAAAACAGCTGTGTGCATTGTTTCAACACCATACATCATCTCTAAATTCTCATACTGACGAATCAAGACAATTCTATTCTAGCAGCCTTGGTTCTGGCCCAAAAGGTGACACCAAACAAAACATGTGGGCAAGAGGTTTGACAGGATGGTGGGTTCTGTTTAAAGGGGTCCTATTATGTTTTTTCACTTTTTTAACCAAGCATGAGAGCATGTTCTAGTACACCCCCAAAACAAAATCAAGACTTTGTAAAAGAGCATAATAGGACCCCTTTAAGAAAAGGGCAGAACAGAGTAGAATAGAACGAACATTCAGGTCTTTGTTCTGTCACCCGGAGCTCTCGGCAGCTCAACCCCCGCAACACATGCAGTCTGAGAGTCTTTCCGGAAGGAAACGGTACTGTAACATGATGTGACATTTCTCGGCAGCTCAACCCCCGCAACACATGCAGTCTGAGAGTCTTCCCGGAAGGAAACGGTACTGTAACATGATGTGACATTTCAAGAACAAAGACAAGGATTCATGAGTTCTCACTCTTTGATACATACAATATTTCAGAATATATGCTGGGATTTTTACAACTCGGACACAACAGAAAGAATTCTGGTGCTACTGTCAGTTACACACATGGTTAACCTAAATCAGCAAATGTATAACTCAAGAGAAAAATATCACTCTCAATGCTATGCAAAACAGAGAGTTTTTGAGAAGATCTAAATGACTACATTCTTTAGCAGCAACAAACACATTTTTCTAAGTTGCAATGTAGTGTGACAAAATCACTTACAACAGTGTTTAATATTGCACTGCAGCCCCGCTAGCTACTAACTATTAACAGATTCATTCATTATTTATTCAGTTATTTAAATGAGCAATTAGCAATGTTGTATTTAGTGTAAACATATCTAAGTTTATTACTATAAGTTTATAGTAAGTTTGACTGTATTTTAGCCATTTTAAATAATGAGCAGCTTGTACGGTTTCACTGATTTTGACCCAGATTCGGCCCATTCAGCAAAATCAACTGAACCGGCCATATCCTACATTTTTGTAGAAAACTCTTTCCTTCCTGTAATTTAGTTTACCATTACCATTTTCACCCCTTCTTTCACCGTTAGAAATAAACAGGCCATGTAAGGGCAAAATAGATAAAGATGGCCGAAAAAATAAAATAAAATAAACAAATAAAACCATTGATTTAAAATAAAATAAAATAAAATAAAACCATGTGTTTATTTTAAATACATGAATAAAATAAATATAATTATTCATTTATTTTTAAACACAAAAATAAAAACTACTTATTTACTGTAATAAATAAATAAATACAATTATTTTTCTCTAAAATAATGATACATATATATATATATATATATATATATATACAGTGGGGAAAAAAAGTATTTACAACAGGGCAGGCTGAGTTTCTGGATACTGAACAAGTGTCAACATGTAAACACAGACAGTCTAATACGCTCGTGGTTGTGATATTACAATTTGTTAACCAGATGTTTCTGCAAATTAGTTTCAATAAATGGTCTGGTTAGACAAAGGAGGAAGCTTCGGATTGTGAACTTTAAAGAGCCTGTCTACATAATACATCAAACTCTTATTTCAAAAGAGCAAAGAAAATGATATGACAAGAAGATGGAATCATATGAGCCTTATTCGCTATAAAGTCTCCTGGTTTGGAGCTTAGCTAAAGCTGATGTTTAGTAATGTGAGCTTCCCAACCCAGCATTTGCCTTAAATAAACAGGTCCATCAAACCTCAAAACCAACACAGATACCTGAGATCATCAGATACTCTCTCAATAAAGCCATCACTGCTCTGAAATCCAACCCTTCCTCTAGAACTGTATAATTGTGCAACGCCCCACTTTTGAACCCCAAAAAATTGTGTAATTTTACAAGACCACAAATGTGAGCTTGTAAGGTGGGAGCTAACGATTACATTTCAGATTCAACTCGCTCCAGTCTGCAACACCTCTCACAGTTTTGTCAAAAGATTTTACAACAATGACACCCATCATCGAGGGGGGAAAAATGCACATCAACCTTTCTATCCAGACACTATGGATGCTGTTCTTATAAACAGATGGACACTCACACACATTATTAGACACTCTAGAGCTGGAAGTCTGGGCTGAGATCCAGCAGTCTCTGCACCTCCTCTACACAGTCTGGGAGAAACTAAAAATACACTGTTTCACACTCCAGCACGTACACATTTACACATGCACCCAGTGCTTATTATGCAGGATATGTAAGATCCTAACGTTCAGTCAAAACTTACTCTTAAAATACGACAGTAAAATCAGAGAAATGCAAAACAGCAAGTCACTCGTCCTCGTGCAAACGCACTACAATTATAATGTGGCAACAAGTCGATTTATATCTATGTGGCATCGACAGCATGCTGCTGCCATAACAACCGTTTCCAGGAGAGACTCATTAGTGGCCTGCGGTCATTACAGGTCCTCAAGGAGTAAAGGTTTCATAATGGAAACTAACACTGAAGTATTTCTGCTGCTCATTATAGAGAATAATCAATTACGTAAAATAGAGATCATGAAAGACGGAGGGTGAGAGTTCCATTCATTCAGACGTTTCCTGGCCAAAAGTAAAGGTAGGCAAAGGTTGAGAGTTGAACTGATATGAACTGTAATTTCTGCAGCCACTCAGCAAGAAGACATCATCTTCAGATGACAACTAGACAATGTAATGAGTAAAAAAACCACAGGAGACACCCATTACTGCAGGTAACACGCAAACGCTATTTACAATTGACAAAGAAAAGAAAAGAACATGTAACCAATTTTACAGATTTTTCTTATTTCAAAGGTCCAGTTATTCGATCAAAACACAGTTAAAACAATAATATTATGATATCTTACAATTATTTTTTTTTATTTAATATATTTTTAAAATGTAATTTATTCCTCTGATGGCAAAGCTGAATTTTAGCAGCCATATCCTAGTCTTCAGTGTCACTTGATCCTTCAGAAATCATTCTAATATGTTGATTTGCTGCTAAATATTTATTATTATTAACAATTGTCCTGCTTAATATTTTTGTAAATATTTTTGTGCTGTTTAATATTTTTGTGGAAATCATGATACAGCATTTACTTAAAATATAAATCTTTTGTAACATTAAAATGTCTTTACTCTCACTTTTGATCAATTACTGAGCCCTTCTTGTATAAAATAAATTTCTATCAAAACAAAAACCGTACTGGCCCCAAACTTTCTCCGCAAATGGTTCGTTTTGTCTTGCAACTCCACACGACATACATCATGCAACAAAATTGTTACATTTCTAACCAAGCACTGAATGGAGCACCCATTAAAAGTTGTTCAGCTAAATGGAATCGCTTTAGGGTGCTAGGTGGATTCGATTCAACAGGAGGACCGAATTGTTCATGACAACGGCTCTAGTGTAGTGAAGGCAAAGTGTTATAAGAACTAATGCGTTCAGTAAATCATGACCTTTGTGTGTAGGTGTGTAGAACTGACAGTCCCAGTAATAAACTACAGCCGGGTTTGCTTGTTCATCAAGCTGATTACAGTAACCACAGTGGAGCAAGTCAATAACCTCACAGGAGGTCCATCAATACCTTTACTCCACTTTGGTCAAGTCAAGTCTGCTTTATTGTCAATTCTTCCACATGTACAGCACATACACACAGAGAATTGAAATTGCGTTACTCTCAGACCCTTGGTGCATACAGATAACACTAACAGTAGAACATAAATACAGATAGATACAGATTAAATATAAAATACAACTATACAAATATACAAATAAGGTAAAATGTAAAAACATATATAAAGCAGCACAAGGCACAAGGCACATAGCAGATAGCCTGTAGTTTGTCTCATCTCTGTTGCTAATGAGACCCACTACAGTCGTGTCATCCGCAAACTTAATGAAGAGTTTGCGGTTTAATCTAGCCAGACCGGAGAGAGAGTGGGGGTAAAGCGAAAGAAAAAAGCATTTAATTATAGACGAGTGAGTGTCAAAAAGTGCTCACTGGAATATCTTGCAAATCTCATGTGAAACACTACATGCATATAATGTCCTGATGGGGTAAAATTCTGTTATAAAATTCACTCTTAAGCCTGGCTCACACTATAGAATTTTTAGCCCGATTTAGCCCCGATTTCCCCCTCGCAAGAATCGGAGGCTTGTCGAGCCCCTCGATCGGTCCCAATGTTCGGCGCGGATTATCTGGTAAGACAGAAAGCTCTCGGATTTCATCAAAAATATCTTAATTTGTGTTTGGATGAGGAATGAAGGTCTTAAGCCTGGCTCACACTACAAGATTTTTAGCCCGATTTAGCCCCGATTTCCCCCTCCCGAGACTCGGAGCAAAAATCTTGTCGAGCTCCTCGATCGGTCCCAATGTTCGGCGCGGATTATCTGGTAATGTGAGGCGTTCACCGATTGAATGTTGCACCTCCCGATCTGCTCCCACACAAATCGGGGCCATCGGGAATGACGGGAAGTCGTGGCCTAATGGTTAGAGAGTCGGACTTGTAA